ATCTGAATACTCAATTTTTAGGTTTCTATTTTAGATAAGTTCGTGTTTACCTGTTGACTAGGCTGCTCAGGACTTTCTGCTTTTGTTTCCTTAAAGGATTAAGGGCATTTAGGAAAAAAAAAACGTAAAAACTATCTTAGTGGATAATGTTATGCAGTGTTTACATCCTCCTAAACACTAAGTGATTAAGAGCATTTGGTACCAAGTGGTGTAGCGTAGGTTCTATAACAGAATAGAATTTAGCTGTTTGGGACTTTAGTTTAATGCTTCTAGTCTTGGTTCAAGATGCAATTCTACTCTGATATTGTATTCTTTGCCAACTCTTGGTTATTCAGGGAAGTTAATGCTATTTTTTAACCTATATTCTGGCTTCTCTGGGCATCTTTGCAACTTTGTTCATCTTTCTTCCTGCTTTTAGTTGTCTTTTTTTGTTTGGTTTGGGGTTTCTTTTCCATGGAAGACCTTACTGAATAAGACCTCATTGCCAGCTATTCCATGCAGCACTACAGAGGAGTTATTTCCAGTGCTGCCAATCACAAACTTATGAGAGAGAAGACTGGAAGGTTTCGTCAACTGTAATGTGTTTTTTCACTTGAGGAAGTCAAGAGCAGAGCTATTAGTCCCCTTTTCTAATGATCATTTTTACAGAAGGGTTGGAATGGTGGTTGGGAAGGATTTTTCCAAGTGACTAAATAATTCATAGATAGATAAACAGAATTAGACTCCACAGCTGTGTGGGTTGGATTCAATGAGGTTTTTTGTTTATTTGTTTTTTTTGAACATGTATATTCCATTTTTAAATGAGTGCTTAAAGTCAACTTAAATTAATTGAAAGTTAGCAGTGAACAGACAGGTAGATTTGTTAAACAGTAACACTGTGTTTATTTTGGTTAATCGAGGTGTCATGAGAAAATTACTTCCTTATAAGGGGAAATTCAGGATTTAAACAAAGAATGTTAATAATGCATAGGCATAATAACTGCTGGGGAGTGACTTGGCAACTTTACAAAAAAAAGAAATATAGGCATTTTCTCATTGCTTACTTGGAATTCATTCCTTTATTCATGATCCGGTTGTAACAGACAATTGGGAATTTCAATGAAAGTTTGTTTTTTGTAGAATTGTCCAATTGATGTTATTACATGAGGAGCAGGCCTGTAAATGAGAGGGACAGAAAAAAAGACAACCTTTTAGAAGAAGAAAAAATTATAAAAACACTTTGGTATCCTTGCTATTGCACCAGGAGAGACTGATGTAACATCAGGAAGAATACTCCCACCAGCCCTGGATATTAAGTTGATTTCTTAATTGGAAGTTACCTTTAGAACAGCATAATTATTGTAGTAACATGCTATTAAAAGTTGTACCAAGAGCTGGGCCTTAACATGACTCCTGTGTCAACCCTTTTGATGGTGTCAAGAACATAATACATTATGTTCTTAAGGGATAAATGAAACTGGGATTGCAGGTTTGCCATTGTGTATTGCACACACTTGGATTTGAACAGCAAAATCGATGCTTCAGTTGGTCACAGTATTTAGTCAGGAGCTAATTTCCAAGAGCTGCTCCTAACGCTTTGAAAGGCGCATTTAACTTGATGCATTAACTTGATGTATTTCAGCCTTGGAATATAGCTCTTTGCTTTATTCTTCATCTTTTTGTATTCCCATTAGGCCAGTGTTAAGATTTAAGCATGGAACTCGTTACATCCTTTAAGTTAAAATATTTCTGGTTTGAATACTTTGCTTATAAAATAAAAATTAATGTCCCTTGTCTAAGTTGTATATATCAAGTTTGGTTCTGTTAATATATAATTAATGAAGAAAAATGAGACTTGCTGAAGAAGATTAGGAGCACATTGTAATAAGCTTTCTGAAAGGGATAGATCTTTGGGTGAGAGGTCAATTTCCTTTATCCTCTTGCTGGAGACAGACCGATCTGAACTTGGGATTTTGACTAGTCTTTCAGCAGGCATTAGCTCATAGGTTGCTTTTACTGACTGTCAGCATATTAATTTCTGTATTCCTTATCAGTGTGTGTATAGTAAAAGAAGAAAATTGTAGGAGAATAAATGGAAGCTGCTTAAGAACAAGCAAAGGTGGCATTTAGGCTTTTTATTTACTGGGGTGGATTTTTATCCTGTCATGCAGGTGCTTCTTGTCCACTGGGGTCTGTCTGACTTCTGGGTTCAGGCAGAATATGCTTCAGCTGCAGCTTCTTCCTCCCTTCCTTTCCCAGAAAACATAATGTGCTGTACATGTGTGATGTGTTACAGAACTCAAAGGTGTGGTGGATTCCTACAGATTCACATTTACCATTTCTCTTTCTCAGACTGACTTAACTGGTCAGTCTGTCTGTCGTTCTCTTTCTTCCTCTTCTGTAGCCTTCCAGTGACTTTATCTGGTATGTGTGTATAATTTTTGGATTTATATTGGTCAACTGGTTTGAAGAAATCTGTAAAGACCTTGATTTTTACGTACTTTGGGAGTCTATAAAATGGAAATGTGGAATGACAATCCAATCTCCCAACCTCTGCTGTCTTTCGCCTTCTGCCAACTGCGATGCTGAGAACCAGATTTTCTGAAAAGTCTGGTTTTTCTTTATCTTTAAGGGATTTTTTAAGACTACTTCCTTTTGAAATGTTTGTCCTGTGCAGTGGCAAAAAAGGTTATTTTTGTAACTAAAAAGGCTGGAAATTTACATAAGGAGAGGAAAAAACCTTAGGCAAACTCAAATTCTGTTCTGGGAATACCTGCTGTGGCCCTGCTATAAACTCAGCTGTGAGCAGTTATAAACATCCCATCTGTGGGATGATTTTCTTCTGCTTTCTCCCTTCCTTTCCCTCTCTACAATTCAATATGGTTTAGGTTGTTAGTTTCCCTTTCAAACCAATCTGTTGCAGATTGAAAACAAAGGAAAAAACATACAATAAAAAAAAACACCAAACCCCAACCGAAAAAAAAGAAGAAGGAAAAAGGGAAGGAAGAAGAAAAGCTTGCTAAAAATAATTTCTTTGGAAATTGCATAACCTGTTTCTCACTGTATTTAGGAACTGTCTCTGCCTTTTAGTCATGCCAGGCATAACCCACCATCTTCTTTAAGAGTACCAATCAAGGACATACTGCACTAAGATGTTGGGTCATGAAACGTAGCAGTTGAGGCATGTACATGTGTCCTTCTGTTTCTCCCTTCCGTGAGCAGTGACTTCAGACAGAGAAGACAGATGTGTGTCTGGGAATGGCATCATCTCCAACCACTGCAGCAAAGCCTCCAGATGGCCGACTGCCAGGGTGTTCAGTTAGTGTTTCTCCCAAGGAGACCTGATAATCTCTGAAATACCTGCACAGTTTCAGGTTAAAGACATTCTGAGTGTGCATTGCAAAGCCACTGCTGTTATTCAAGCAGTTGTGTTGGTGTTTCAATAAATAGCCTGAGTAACGTTCCTGTGCTTCTGTTTAAGTCAGTGGCAGATTCTGTCAGGGATTTCAGCAGCATTTCTCCACCAACCCTTGATCACTTTAATTTCACTGTTGTACTCTTGTTCAGCAAAACTAATTCAGGCAAAACATGGCAAAATTTGCTTTGAAAACAGGATTTTTTCCTTTAAAACTTAAAAATTATGAAATCATATTTTACTTCTCCTCCTCCCCCCAATATTTTAAGGTGTGAAATGTTGACACCTCATATTTAGTATTTTTTACTTCCCTGCTTTCATTTTTAAGTAGCCTACTTAGGTTTTTTTACACACTTGACATTCTATCAAGGAATTCTGATCTAAATTTAAGTTCTGAGTAAGCTAATGACAAAAATTAGTCTCCTTTCCTATTTAAATGGTTTGGTTGGCATAGTTTATATCCTGTTTAATGCAGGAAGTATTTGTGAATAAAATTGGAGTGTGTTTGCATCTCCAGGAGTGATTTCTGCCCAAGACTCTCTAAATCATTCAGACTTGTTCATTTAATTCTTTGAAATATTGATTAAATATATTCACTCTGGTTTGCTTTAATCTGATTGTACATGTGAAAGTTTTCTTCTGATGTGGTGCAGCCACGTCTGGTGTAAGCTGACTTAATTAGCACTGCTTAGTGATTTGGGACCCCTGTCAAAGGCTGTTGCATTATCTGGAAACATAAGGAGTTAAAGCTGAAGCTGTGACCTCATCCCTATTCAATTTACTCTGAAGTAGAAGCCGAGCTGAAAGGGATTGTTTAACTGACTCGCTGTCTTTGCTGCTGCTAGTTGATTGCTTTAATTTGGTTCTGATTTCTGTAGCGTGTGTTTGCTGAACAACTCGTACAGGAGGGATTTGTGGGAGTACTAGAGGCGGACGAAGCCACGCTAATACCAAATGCCCGTGGAAATAGCTCCCACAGAAATATTTAGACTCAAATGCATCTTTCTCCCTGATTTCAACTTTTTATTGATTCCGCCGCGGGGGGACTGGCGGCACTGGGGAGAGCTCGCACACACGCAGGTTTGTGGCCAGCCGTGTGTGCCAT